TGTGTATAAGGACCAAACATCCTTCTCTTCTCAATTTCAATATTCATATTCTTGATGATCTTATCTGCTGCTAAGCTTGATGACGAATGATTTCGTGGTGTGTAATATGGGAGGTCTTCGATGACATGGTGTGGAATACCTTGATCAAAACCTGATTGAAAACCTAAAAGGACATCGCTGAACTCTTCCATTAGTTTTGAATTAACTAAAGCTTTCCTCCACTCTTCAACGTTCATTTCGCATTGGACTCTTGTAGGCCACCCTTTAGGTAAGATTCTCATATTTGATCTCACAGGTCGTTCTTTCGAAATTTTTGCTGGGATGTCTTCTACACACAACGCCACCGCGCTTCGCTCCGCTCCGCTAAAAATTCCATTTTTACAAGCGGAGCGATATGTCGCTATGATCCCAGACCAAATCGCTACGCTATAGACATGTGAAGCCGCTATGACTTTTCATAGCGAAGCACGGTTTTACATCGCTCCGCTTCGCTCGGGGAAATTTTGGGCTTGGTTAGCGCATGAAAGCGCGGGCGGTCAACATATGTTTTAACACAACTTTGATTACTTGATCATCAATAGCAGAGTGGGGATGTAAACGCACACAAGAAAGAAAAAGAGACACTATTTTTTTTGCGCACAGCATTGAGCATTTAGATATGATTGGAAGTAGAAAAGGAGAAACAAACAGAAAGACATTTTTTGATTTTTATTAGTTAGGCGAATAATATAATATTTGGGAAACAAGGTTTTGAAAAGGAGAGTATAAAAAGAATATTTGAAAGGGAGCCTATAGAGAGGAATTCAAAACATAAACTACTTTCTACCCTTGGTGTTAGAAGTTGCATAAGCTCGGACAAACGCTACAGCCTCTGCAAATTTACCTGACAATGTGATGTTTGATTTTAACCATTCACGTACACCAACTAACTTCTGTACCATTTTGCCGGTCAAAGATGCTCGACCAGGTACCGCAATATCCGCTGCAGAGGAAAAAGTCCTCTCGCATGGGGTAGATGTGCCAGAGATACCAAGGTAATCGCGAGCCAAAGAGGCAAGGACGGGAAAGTCCTTTTGATGCTCCTGTATACAGAAAATCAAACGGTAAGATAAATAGATAAACAATTTAGAAGATGAAGATTGGACTGACCCTCCACCAATCCAGCTCATTCTGACCAGAATGCAAAAGATGACCACCTTCTATATAATTAGCACGTTCTTCTTGGCGTCGATCAGCAGCGGACTGAGATACCACATGAGTTGTAAAGACATCGAACTCGGAAAAATTCGGGTCAGGTGAAATGGAAGGCGTTTGGATGTCTTCACTATCAGTGTTTGAAGAAACACTATCTTCAGTCCAATTCCTGAGAGCTTCTTCAAAGGTGCGGTTAAAAATTGATTTTGCTCGGGGGGCCTCATCGGGATAATTGAGGTCAAAGAATCGAATTCGAAAACGGGGATTAAGGATGGTGGCTAAGACAATTGCGTCTGAGGCAACTGCCTCAGCCTGATAACCTTCAAGTTTGTTAGATATCACATTCAGCATCTGCCTGAGTTCCGGGTCTTCGCAGGCTTCCTGGAGCTTATCAACCTCCGAAATGACCCGTGAGTATTTGGCAAGTAAGACACAGCCAGTCGGTTTGTTGCCCTCCATTCGTTTGGTAGCATAGAGGAATACCTATGAATGAAGACTTTTTCAGTAATGAAACAACAGATAAAGAGAAAGGAACAATCCAGAAAGACAAAAAAAATGAACTTTACCTGGAGGATTTTGACTAGCATCTCTATTGCATCCCATTCATCGCTGGTTATATGTAACCCCTGAAAATAACGAGTTTTTCGATCACTGAGAAGTATCGCATCGACCACCTATAAGTTTAGAAAGGGAAATCAAAGATAAATCATAGATAAAACAAAATATTATAGAGCTGATTGTACTTACATCTCGTGCATCGCTCAACCTTTGGAGGTAATCGGCGTCGATGTTCCATCAAACTCCCCAGCCAGAGATAGGTGATCTGCCTTTGTAGTCCAATTGTTCAGCCTTTGCAATAAATTCTTGACGTCTTGCCGAACTTCTGGTACATAGACCATTAAACTTTATGGCCTGTAAGAGCATATGTCATTATGCTGGGACAGTAGTAACAAAAAGAAACGGACGGAAACTTACTTTGCGAACTGCACACGCCACCTTAGAGACACGGTTGAATCGATCAGCATCAGAGCCATGGTCGGAAGTGTCGTCACCCAAAGATTGATTGTCAGAATCGAGATCGTCTTGAGAATCTTCTGAAGAATCGAAATGAATGTCTTCATCACCCTCGTTCAAGGTGAGGGTAGGTGCAGTTAGAGTAATTCCGGGTGTAGTTGTAGGCTTGGTGTGACCAGCACTCATGCCTAAAGCCTTGAGACCAGCTTTAACCACGAGGCCAATTTTATGTGCATAGCACTTGACTTGATTTACCTCAGGATCCCAAAAGGCTGGATCGTCAGCTTTCGAAAACATGTCGGACAGTTCACTGGCCATAGTTGCATTTGAACTAGCAGAATCTGTTGTCTGAGCCAACATGTGGACATGACAACATGGATTGGTTAGCAAAAACAACCTTTAAATGATATGGAGATAAAAAAAAAGGTGAAGAAACGAAGGAAACCGACTCATCTTTTTGTGTAATCCATTTGAAATTAAGAATCTACCTACTGGCTGTGCAAGAAGACGGCCTGCATGATGCCAAGTGACCAGCTTAAGAGTCAGATGCTGGGTTTGGAAATGCCAGTCATTGTCGATGTATGTCGCTGAGACTCCTATAAAAGCCTTACGACGACCCTTCGTGGTCCAAATGTCGTAAATAAGACAAAACCTACCATCGTTAGACTGTAACCCAAAAAATCAGTGAGCATCAACGTGTCAAGAGGAATAATGGAATGATGGGAGACAAGATTACATACCTGCAGGTTTTGAATAACTGTGGCTGACAACTCCTTGTAGATAGCCTTGGCAGTTTCGGTTGCCCAGGTGGGACCACGTACGTTGGCCGATCGATTGGAAAGTTTGAACGCAGCTCGCAGCGCAGGATCATTGAATCGTGAAAATGGAAGAGTGTGTCGAAGGAGCCATAAGACTAAAACTGTGTTAAAAAGTTCCACACTGAAAGTGGCTTGAGATAAAAAAGAATCGAGAGTTGCCTTCGGATTGGAGGATGCTACTCGAACTATTTCATCTTGCTGTTGTTTCCAGGATCGAGGTAGGTCCATGCCTAGAGCAATGGCGCGGTGTCGATTGGGACAGGCTGGGCGATCCTTGGCGCCGTCTCGATGCGAATACAAATTAAAGTAGCTACGCCTGCCTCGGACAAAGTACCCCAGACAGAAACAACACTGGTACCTGCGAGGATCATCGCCGGTCTAAGCAGGTCATGAAGTTAGTATACGTTTTTTGTGATATTGACAAAGAGTAAGGATTGTAAAGAAAACTCACCTCGCCCTTTACATGAAAGGGATCCTTGTAGTAAAGCAATATCAATTCAACTCGGCCAGAGTCCCGCCTGACAACTGAAGTCTCAACAATTTCAATGTCCGAGTCTTGATTGACGTCGACTCCTGTGGGGACCTCATAGTCCTTTGAAAGAGGATGAAGGAGAGAAATGCATCAGAGAGATTAGATGGAGTGAGAAAGATGACACGATGAGATTATGTAAAAAGTGAAAAGATAAAGTGAGAAAGATGACACGATAACATACCTCTTGTACTGTAGATTTTGTAGATTTCTTTTTTTTCTTCACAGGAGCTGAACGAGTTTGAGACATGTTTGATGAATTCGAACAATTACGAGATGCCGTACTTTTTCGTTTACCTTTCCCAATATTGCGATTGTTTCCTTTGAGAACCCTTTTCTGCAGGTGTGGTTCAACTTGAACGGATGAGGAAGCTGAGACAACAAGGTCTGATTGATGGTCTTCACTGTCAGGTTCTTCAGCATCAGATGGTAATTGAAGAGCTCGTCGCGAGTCAGGAGACTGTGTAACAAATCCAGGTCGAGGGCGGACAGGGCTACGTGTGCGAAGAGTTCGAGCTGACAATTGGGTACTAGTAGGTAAAGGAAGTGTGCTGGATACAAGCTGCAGCGTCGTTTGAGTGTAGTTTCGAGCATCAGGTACGGATGGAGACATGTTCAAATGAAGATTGGGATGATAATGATTCGATCGAAGATTGAAATATGGGTAGTGATTTGAATGAAGATTTGAATAGAGGGAATGAGAATCTAGAACAAAAGGTGAGGATGGATTAGGAATGAGTAAACAGAAGATATCAAATGAGGAACGATATAAAGATCAAGCAAAATGAAGAACTTACCTTGACAACCTTTTAACCATGGATCGAATGGTTCTAAGATCGAGTGGTCCGGAAGCACAAGCATCCTGCAATTGTGCAGATGCATTCTTCAGATGTTCATCCGTGGAGGTGGAAGTGCCAGGTCGTTATTGTATATGAGCCGGGTGGTTGTCCGAGGTAGATAAATGAATGGTTGATGTTGGATGGGGTGGGCTGAGGAGTGTACCAGTCAGTTTCCGATATCGGAAACGTCTGAGTCCTACATTGATGGCGCTCTGAGGCGCTAGGACGCTATGGTGCATAGCCGCACTATGAGGCGCTATGTCACAATTTAGCACAGCGATATTTCGCTATACAGTGCGGCAAGGCAAACCGCTATCTAGGCTAGGTTTTGAACATAGCTATAGTGGGGCGCCCCGCCCGCTATAAGGCTGAAAGTATAGTGCAGGCGGGGCGGCCGCTCCGCTGCCGCTCTGCTCCCGCTATTTTGAGCGAAGCGCGGTGGCGTTGCTACACAAGACGTCGATTTTTTAGTTGTTACTTCCTTAATAGGATCTATTTCAATCGCCTCACTACTATTACAATGATTGTACAAATTAAAAGCAATACAAAATATCTGTTAACAATTAACTTTAATCATGCATAGTTTAGAGGGAGTCATGAAGGACTTCAAGAAACAATAAGAGGGATGGAATGAACAATTCTAAAGGAGAAACTCCCGGTCAAACTAAATTTGAAAATAGAACACGTATACTTACGATTTGTTCGTATTGTTCGAAGTTTCTGGTTGTTTTCCTTTCCTAACATAATTAGGATCGAAATTTCCACCTAAATAACCTTTTCTCTTCTTACCATCATTCTGCGGTTTTTGATAGTTTGAAGATGAGTTATTAAATTGAGAATTAATTTGATTTGAATTTAAATTATTGTTATTATTGTAATTTCTTTGAGTCGAAGTGCTCTGGTTTGAGTTAAACGAAGTATTTCTTGAAAGATTTTGTCTAGTTTTTGGGTTACCGGTGTTGTGATCCCAATCGAATCTTTCACCACCTTCAGCATACGGGTTATCTTTGAAGCTAAGTTCATCACATTTTCTAGCCTTTGCAAAACAAATTTCTTTTAAATCTAATCTGCATTTTGAAATATCAATTGGTCCTGTAGTTCCATCTTCGTAAGTGACTTTCTCAGTAAACAGGAGGGTTCTCATTCTTATATCATACCTAAAAGCTACCATCCGTCACTCAGTTTCTCTTATGCTTTCTACATTCTCTTTATGTTTTTCTATCCATTCAGCTAATTTTACGAATTTAAATTTGTGTCTGATTGCTTTTATGAAATTTCGATAGTTTATTGTCCAAGTCATGTATGATTGTGAGAATTCATGAGGATACGGAAGGCCTGAATAGATGTTTTGAGCTTTGGTTGATTCGTCGCTCTTCACTTTCTTTTCAGTGTGATATTGCCAAGCTTCTTCTTGCCATTCTTCGTTAAAGATCGTTAGTGGAACTGGAAGTTTTAACTCTTTTATATTCTTTTTGAAAAATGGTGTTAATCCAACATTACTATCGGTGTTTGTTGATGCTCCTTCTCTAAAGGTGAAACCATTCTCTACTATTTCACTTCCTTCTTCGACCTTATTTGAATTTGGTTGTTTGAGATTGTTTTCGTCTAATATGATGATTGGATTTGATTTTAAATTAACTCCTTTAGAATTCTTCTCTTGATTTACTGATAAAGATACAGAAGTAGGATTTAAAGTAGTAGTTGATGATCGTAATCGTTCTTCTGCTGCTTTCATTTGTTCATGAATTCTAAACAAAAAGGCTGCTTCTTCTTTATTTCCTGCTAGTACTGCTGCTGTAGCTCTATCCATAGTCATGTCTAAATCTTTCATTTGTTGAGTTACGATTATTGACGGAGTTAAATTCTCTAATTGAATTAATTACGGAGGATCCAAGGAAAGTTTTAGTTAGTTTCTTGACTTAATTATTCTAATCAGTCAAACTTCGTTACCTGTTGCATTAGCGTTTGGTTTACTTCCTAGAAGCTCTTTGTAAGAATCATCTATTTGAATCATCCCTTTTCCTTTCTCGATTCTATTGCTACCAGCATCGTTTATCTCCTTATTAGAATCATTGATGAGATCTATTGATACTTCCTTGTTTTGATGAACAGCTATTATTGATGTCATAAATAGAAAAACGAAACATATCAATAAACATTTTAATTAATTTCTTAATTATGATAATTTTTAATTTTTAGCTTACGAGAAATTTCATTTGTTGATTTCTCAGTGTCCTTCGAAACATTTATAGCATCTGCTTGATTGTTCGATTTAGAAATTGAAGAGTCGTTTTTGGCATTAGCCTGGTCGACTTCATTTGTTCCTTTGACATTTGCTGGTGGGATCATGATATTGGCATTTGCCTGATTCCCTTCATGTGTGAGTAAGTTCACTACATCTTGACCTTCTTTACTTGCTGGATTCTTCCTTTTCGACATCTTCTTCTTTAATTTTTATTATAACGATGAATAACTATTTAAATAACTTTAACGATTTATTTTAACAACAACACGAAAACCAGTTTTAAAGAAACCTGGTTAGAAAAGAAAGCGTCGAGAATGAAGACCAGAGAGTGAAGGAATGGGATGGAGAGAACACGCTAGGGAAAAGAGTATACAGGAAGACAAGGGGGAAACGGATCAGTCCTAGAGGCTGATATGTTATAGACATGACTTCTGTCTCAGGAACAGTCAGGTGATGACTGTCTCGATTCCCAAAGCTGAGAACGAGCCTCACGAGCGTTGGGCCTGAGGATTGGCTATCCAACTGGGCTCTGAGACAAGTCTCGTCCTCAGAGGCGCGATAGATATCCCCGATAGTCCATGGACCCGGGCAATCTACCTCGTGCCTCGTCCGGGTGCCAATCCAAATAAGAAAAAGAGAAACATGGATGGAGATTAATGAAAGTGAAAATAAAACTTACTCTGACAGGTTCACCATCAATATAGAAGGCTGCAACAGTCGGTTGATTGGTTTGAATTGGATGGCCTATACGATGAGCACGCCAAAGGTGTTGAATCATAGATTTGGTACTGGCGTGCTTGTCAATAGCCATTGGTTTGTTGCAAATGTTGACAGCCTCGAGATCCTGTTCCATGGGATCAACGGCGTCGATCAAACCCTCTTGGGCATGACAGATGTTCTTCATCACACCGTTGACCTCCTCCTGGACAAAGTAGGTCCACACCCAAGAAGTACGAGTTACAGTAGTAGTGTCTGAAGCAGCCGTAGCAGTGGAGACAGAAGAGATAGAGTCAGAAGGAGCAATACTAGATGTGGGAATGGCCATTGTGCAACAAAGCAAGCTGGTGGTGGATCTGGTGATTGGGGCGGAGGGCATGTATAAACGATGATCAACAAGATTGTGATTATGTGATCATTGTGGGAGATTTTTGGCCTCAAAAGTGTCGGCTCTTGGGCCGGGTTGAGTGCCCGGGGCGCCACAGGGCCATTTGTGACTCTCATGAAGTTAGGTTTAAATGCCCCGGGGCCGGTACTGTGAGCTCTGCAGAAGTTGCCGGGCAGAGTCGGCCAGGCGGGGTCGGGTCCGGGTCACAGCCCTAATAAATCCTAATTACATATACAGTCAACTCTTGATGTAAGCATATTGATGGTCAACATATATCCCTTGCCTATATTGCGCAATGCATAATTTTAAAAGCATAATATGCCTATCGGGCCCATGTATACCAAAAAAAATACCACAAAAACCTATGCATATAGCGAGATATGTCTACGTTGAGCTTGCTTACATCAAGAGTTGACTGTAAATATACATTTTAAATCATATGTAATATGTAATAAAACACTAATTACACCTCATAACTCAGTGTCAAGAGTTAAAATGCTTATACTACATAAATTACATAACATGTATATGTAATTAGGTAGTAATAATAATCATAGTTAACAATAATAATTAAACCCTAAACCACTGTAGTGATACAAACAAGTATCACTACAGTTAGGTTTGGAGAAGAGAGTATATAAACTCCTCCTCTCTCAGCCTTCAGAAATTCTCCCCCAAGCATTTATTACACACCACTTTTAAGAACCATTAAAGTTCTACTGAAGTAACATCAAGAGTCTTATAAATATAAGACTAGCAATATCTTCATTACTTAAATCAGTTCCTTGATTAAAAGTAAGTAATACCTTCACCCTTTCTGGATCCTCTACTTCCCCCAAGTAGGAACTCTTTTAGGTTGGTGACCTTCCAACAACCCAAGGCTAGTGACCTACATATAATTACTTTCAGGCTGGTGACCTTAAGAACAACCATAAGTTGGTGACTTTAAGAACAACCAGTGTAGTGGCCTTTATCTCACTCTTTAATCTGTTAATTAGAAGGATTAAAGGAAGGACGTTTTGGGATCCATCCTTCATTTATTATAAAATTTATTTATTATAATTATAAACCTCCTTTTCAGGAGTCACTTAACTGTAGTCTGTCTGGATTTATCCAAACAGACCAGTCTTTCCTCTTTCCTCTTTTCATTCTAGACTATTTTTAATTGTAATTACATCATTCATATTAAAGGAGAACTATGAATTCAAACAAAACTCGAAAAAACCTCCACTTTTCAGCTGGGCAACTGGCAGTTTTTGCCTGCCGAAGTTTTGACTAGCTTAACAACAAGCCCACTGTGCCAGGTGATTTTTTCTCGGACTCGTCCGCCCCTGGCACAGGGGGCTTGCGTATTAAACGTCAATCGTGGCGTGACTAATAGCCACCTTTTGGTGGGCGTTTTTTCACTTTGCATTTACACCACGAGCCACAAATGTGATTTCTTCAAAAAATCAATCAGATGAGCTCTATCGAGTTCTGAAGGAAATGGCCTCTTCAGAATCTCGACAGAGCTCATGATCGTGTTGATTCATTGAAGCTGCATATTTCTAGATTTGAAATTTCAAACCCTAAGATCGTTATGTACAACCTCAGAAAGCCTGAAGAGATTTTATACTAAGGGATGAACAATTTGCTTTTGATCTTCGCAAATCGACGTTGGTAGCTAGCGGTAGCTATCGGTGGCTTATGTGATCATCGGGTGTACATCAGATCAGAGAGCGAAAAAGATATAAAGGGTCTTCAGAGACGAGATATCAGTAATGCAATCAATGAAATCGATCAAACATGATCACTTGCCTCTTGTTGTTTGTTTTGAGACGAGTAGATCAGTCCTCATCTTCCTAACATACTTTTTGTTATCAATCAACATTTCGAAATCTATTACTTTTGTCGTTGAGAGAATTGATGTTGCGTGGTCTTGAGAATGGTGATCGAAGAAGAGCCTAATCGCACAACTGGACGAACAGAGTCAAAAAAAACGTCTGTACTCGAAGGTCTCTGCGTAAGATTGAGAGAAGACCATGGCCTATCAGCCAAGCAGTTCTTTCAGAACTTCATGGCTTCAAAGGAAGAGTCGATCATCATACGAAGAAAACAATGGATCTCACCAACTGGGTGGAAATCGACACGAGGACTACTTGACTCGATCAAACAATTAGTAGATGACGAAAATACCGCGGAAGCTAGACATGACTGGCAAGAGTGGGTTCTACAACAGGTATGGCTCACATTTATTTGCTGAACTTCAGATTTCCAAGAACTGACAGAATGTATTCCTCATAAACAATCCCTCAGGCTATCGAGATTGTTAATACACAAAAAACTCCTCGTCGGAACACTGCTACAAAAAAAAGTGCATATGTGAATGCAACAAAACTCGAAGACACTTTCTTTAACGGAAGCGAAGAGAACAGACGCAATGCGATGCTAAAGGACAGCATGAATTTCATGTGGAGGTTGATAGAAGCAAAATTAGAATATAGTCATCATGATCAGCTTTCTAAAGACTTCGATACAGATGAAGCAGACCCTGAAGATTCCTCTTCTGATTTCGAAGGAGAATTCGAGAATGAATTGGACGATCCTGACAAAGATCCGACTGAGCACGTTGAAGGGAGGATGTATGTAAGATCAAAGGACAAGAGAGTTAATTTGAGAAATCGTCTACAGGCAGTAAGTTGCAGTCGATCTCTTTTTTGAAAGATACCTTTACAAGCTTAGTTGAAACTGATACTTTTGTTGTTTGATTCAAACACAGATCAACGCCACATTGATGGGAATGCTTGCCTTTGCTTGCAATCGCCGATGTAATAGTCTCCAAGTCGAGAACTCGCTTACCTTCTTAGCATGTGGTGTCACCGAGAGAATCAATAGTTACCTGAACTATATCGGATTAACCTGTTCCCGGTCAACTGCGATGAACGGTCTAGCAAGTTTAGGAAAACAGGCAGTAAAAAAGATTCGAGTAGTGATGTCAAAGAAATTGGTCTTATCGCCTGTGATTGTTCTAGATAACATTGACATTCAGGAGCGTATCCACCACGAAAGAATTGAACAGCAGACTCAGATGTATCATGGTTCTTGGGGTTACATCCATCAATCAAACCCCAAACTACTCAAGGATCTAGACACCGGAGCATTCAGCAAAGACAACATTCGACATATCTTACAGATGACTGCACGAAAAAAAATAGACTTGGGCCTCGTGATGCCGACTGAAGATGAACAAAGTCGGTGGATTCTAACTCTCAAGAATCAGATTGCCTCTGTCTTTCTCCGCTATGTCAAAAATAAAAAGAATGTTTCAAAATCGAATTTCTTGAACGTGGAGCCACTTGATCAAATTAAATGTCAAGTTCCAAATATCCTGATGCTCAGAATGATGGATTCAACTGATAATGGATCTGATGGAGTTGGTCAGCTGTGGCAGGAAGTGATTGGCCAATCCGGTTTGACCAAAGAAGAATTTTCAAACCGAACTCACATTTTGGAGGGTGATCTTGGTACTTGCCTCAACTTTGATGGACTACGAAATCAGCGTGAAGCAACAAAGATCGCAGATGAGAATTTAGAGAATATCTTACTTCTTCCAGGTGCTGGACATACAATTTGGAATATTGCTCAAGCCATTCTTCTCCATCATTGGGGAGACCCATCCGACATGAATGATTTTGGCGCATGGCAGACTGTTGTTGCCCTTTCAGGAAAAAAAGCACCTCCAACAGCAAAGAAAGATTTCACATCAATGCTTCGATGGATCGAGAAAATTCATGAAGCCACAATAACCTATGCACTTCTGTAAAGATTTTTTTTTTTTGGTAGAACAAAACGATTTGAAACTGACACCTTTGAAAATACACAGTGAAATCCTTGGCAAGACTGAACTAGATCTTGAAGAAAGGTTTGATACAAATGCTGTTGAATTTGACAAAGTTATTGATAAAACATTTGAAATCATCTTTTCAACATCAGCGCTTTCTGCAGCCCAAAAGGATCAAGACCAGCGTAAATGCCAGCTTTTGCTGAGGTTACGAGACTTTGCGACTGTTGTCGAAGCAAAGCGAGCAATGTCTGCGGGAGATATCGGCCGTCTCATGCTTATGTGGAAGAGATGGAGTGTGATGATTCAAGGAATGAATGGTCTCACTCATTACTCAACCTATCTTCCACGAGTGGTTGTTCTCTTAACCAAAACACTCCCACAGCCAATGGCTCATGTCATTTTACATTCAATGTTAATTGCTCCAAGCGGACGACAAAATCACTTTGTGGCCAAGGATGTTTTCCTTGAAGTTCAAAACTATTGGATAAAGTATTTCTACAATAGATCGGTGAGTTATTCTCTTTGATATACTATTAAAGTGGATGTTGATCTATATAGTGGTTTTGAATTCACATAGGGGAGTGGGACAGAAATTTCTCGCTTGAGGGATACATTTTCAATATGTGTACCCCATGTGAGTAATTTGTGAGCTATATGGTCTGATTTGATGATCCTGACTCATCTGCTTTTCAGCTCCGGAAGCTCCTTCATACACTCAAGGGGCGCTCAGGGTTAAATGACACATACCAGTCATCAAAGACATTGCTCACACTCAATACAGTTCAGAACTTTGTTGGCTTTGCTCGAGATAACAACTTAATTAGCTGTCAAGCCGGATCAACAATAAGAAGTGGTCTGATTCCTGATATCTATCTCCTCGGAACAGTCAAACTGTCTCAAGATTCTCTGAGCGGGACAAATGACCGATTTCATTGGCCCTTTCGAGGGATCTACAATTCCGAAGTCACATCAAATGTGGAAGAAGAGTCAGATCCATACGAGTTTCAAATTGATCCTGAGCTGCGTGATTGGGAGGCAGGAGAATAAACAGGCAAGTCTCACCTTTGATACTCCAGCTCTTTTGCATCAAGATCATTTTCTTGAACACCTTCTCGTAGCCATTGCATCATCCTCTGATTCCGAAATTTGACTTTTTCTTTTTCAATATCATCTTGTGCGCGCTTATGCCTCTTCGATTCCCGCTGCTCATGCTTTCTTCTCCTCTCATCAATCTTCTCCT